ATAATCTGGAGAATTATAACAAAATTCATTAATTTCTAACATATACGTATCTAACAATTCATTTGGAATTTCAAACGATCTTAAATATGTAATTGAATTTTGTATCTTCTCATTTATTTGAGAAAGTTTTTCTTCAGCATTTTCCAATAAAAATCTTAATGGATTCAAATTGGCTTCTTGATTCTGAACAAAATTTAATACTTGGTATAAACGTGATTGAACTTCTCTTTTCAATTTTGTTTTATAATCTGTCAATCGAGGCTCGCGAATTCTAATTGAAGGAATAAAACCTGTTTGAAGTAAATCGTTTTAATACGATAAAAGTAATTGGGTGCAACTTCTTCTAAAAGATTTTTGACAAAAACATCAATTCTTTGATTTTTAACGCAGCCAAAATCGTGATATTTTATCTTTTTAAATAAAGATTCAGAAACGTTATTCACAACGGTTAATTCATTTGGTCTGGCAGCGGCTATCCACATCATAGCCAACAATTCCTTATACAAAATTCAAAAACTTGGGTGCAATCAGAACTGATTGCACCCAAGTTTTTAACTTTCTTGAGGGAATTAAAGGGTGAGAGATTTATAGTCTATCTATATATCTCCCACCCTCTAATTCCCTCCCTGACAGCGGGAAACTTTGTCTGAATGTTAAACTATTCAGACAAAGTTTCCCACTGTTTGCGAAGGAATTGTTGGCTATGATGTACTGATTCATGATCAGTACATCATAGCCAACAATTCCTTATATAAAGTTCAAAAACTTGGGTGCAATCAGAACTGATTGCACCCAAGTTTTTGAACTTTCTTGAGGGAATGGAAGAGTAAGAGGTATACATTATGAATATATACCTCTTACCCTTCCATTCCCTCTCTGACAGCGGGAAACTTTGTCTGAATGTTAAACTATTCAGACAAAGTTTCCCGCTGTCAGCGAAAGAATTGTTCCATCTGGTGCATAGAGTGTGAATCTATGCACCAAATGGAGCAAGTCCCTCGCGAAATTGCCAAAACTTGCGTCGCATTTCAAAGATTGCGACCCAAATTTTGGCGATTTCTAGTAGAGATGGAGTATTTTGAGTCACTGACCTATATGCAGTGGCTCAAAGGGCTCCATCTCTACTTTGAAGCAAGGAAACTTTCCTCGAAATTTTGATAATTTGAAGAAAGTTTTCAAGCAATTAACAAAGGATTACTCGCTATGAGGTAAAAATTCTAGATTTTCACCTCATAGCGAGAGCTTCCCTTTCATTGCTTGAAAACTTTCCCCAGCTTCAAAATTGGGGAAAGGGCTGTAAAGTCGACTCCGATACCAGCAGGTACCAGAGTATTTAAAAGAGAAGCCCTCGTACGAGGTTCTATGAAGACCTTCTCATTCAAGAAGATCTTAATAGAAAATCGTACGAGGGCATTGGAAACTCGCGTCTGGTACATGTTGGTACCAGAGTGTTTGAGATTTGAAGACTCTGGAACTAACATGTACCAGAATTTATGATGAATTTAAGATGGACCATTATAAAATGGTAGCGGTTTGTTTCAAAAAAATTTAGATGAGATTTGCATAGATATAGATTATATGATTTATACATATGAAAAATAATATATAAAAATATAATTTTGAGATAATTATGTAAATAATATTTTAAATATTTGAATTTGAGGTATAATTTTATAGTAAAATATTATAAAAGAGTATTTATATAAATATTGTAAAATAATATAAGTAATAAAAATTGAGACCCCTCCCTGTTTTTGATGTTTTGTCACTTTTTCGGTAATTCTTATTGTTTCCTAAGTAAATGGCAGAAGACATAATGGTTTATACTATTACGACTAAAAACCCCAAGTAATATAATTCTATAACAACAAACTTACAAAGTCCTCAAGGACGATATTGTAAACTAACCTTAAACACAATGACGACTAAAGCCTGTTTTGCTCTTTTGACACCAGAAGACTTTATTGTTGTGAATGGTAAAAAATACTCCTTTGAAGATACTTACTCAGATATACCACCAACAGGTTTTGTTGACTTATTTAATACTTTAAGTACGGGTGTAACATGTGCTGCAACTAGAGCAGGTTTCATTATGTTTGGATGTCCGACTGAGTTTACTATAAACGATATGAGCTATAATACAAAACTTATTTCTGGTTTTTACTACCAACAGTTTCCTATAACAGGAAAAGGTGTCATACAAGGAATGTCTATTCCATTGACATTAAGCACACCAATCTTATATATTGTTTCAAACTTAGGTTCAAAGTGTTATTCGAATGTCGACAGAAACTATTATGACCAAAAGATACTTATGCGTATAAACAATACTTTCTCTGCTGGTTTGCCTATTGTTCATTCGAATGCAGAATTTTCAACCTTAGTGAACTCAAACACTTTGGCAAGTATAACGTTGACATTAGTTGACGCAAACTTTGTTCCTGTAAAACTTTTATGTCCTATGTATTTGTCAATGACGGCAGAAAGTTTCGAATTGGAAGATGCAACTGGTGAAAGTATTGTATTACAAGAACAACTTCAACAACAAATAGCTCAAGAACAACAAATGCAACAAATGGAACAACAAAGTCAAGAATAAAAAAATAATATTTTTTTTATTTTTATAAAAATATACAGAATAGATGTTTCAGATTTTTATGACTTCCAAGCATTCAGAAATATGTGTCCATTTCGAGACTATAACAAAGCAGTCGAGAATTTGAAACGTTTAGTCATTTATGTCGACTCTGCCCCAGAATGTTATGTCATGAAAGAATGGGATGTTGTCTTTAACAAACCAAGAGCAACAATAGTGTCTGAACAAGAATGTAGACAGAAACTTAAGAAAATAAAAGTTGTACAAGTTGGAATGAAGATGTTAGATGCTTGGGATATCTTATTGTCAAAGTTAGAAGATTTTTCAGTTCGTGGTATAAAGTTTTATACACCTTCTCCAAACTTCTATTCTATCTTCACTGGATATAAATATGAACAAGTAGAATGGAAAGAAAATATTATAGAAGCTTGGTTAGACCATGTCAAAGAAATTATATGCAATGGAAACGAAAGAGTCTATGAGTATATCTTATGTTGGTTTGCAAATATCTTACAACATCCAAGTGCTAAAAATGAAACTGCTCTCATTATAATTGGAAAACAAGGAACTGGTAAGAATACTTTCTTTACAGATATTTTGTGCAAACTGTTAGAAGGTTATTCGAATCCGAATATGACAAACTTAGAAAACATCTGTGGCAAGTTTAACTCCTCAATAGAGAATATGAAACTTATAGTTTGCAATGAACTTCAAAGTATGGATACAACAAAAGTTTTGAACTCAGATGCTTTGAAGAGTCTTATAACAGACAAAGTTGGAGTTGTTGAAAGAAAGTATAAAGACCAAAGAGTTTGTGAAAATGTTGCAAACTTCATTATGGTTTCAAACAATGCTGTTCCGATGAAGTTAGAAAGTTCTGACAGAAGATATGTAGTTGTCAGAACGTCAGAAGCTCATATGCAAGATACAGAATATTTTGACGCTTTGTCAGAATGTTTGACATCTGACTTTTACAACCACTTGTTCTCATATTTCATGACATTAGATATTTCTAAGTTCAATCCAAGACAAATTCCACATACCGAAGAGAGACAAACATTGTTAAAAGCAAACAAGAGTGTATATGAACTGTTCATAGAAGAAAGCGACTTTGAGTGTTTAGATGAAAAGTCTTTATATGATGAATATAAACAATATTGTCAAGAGTATGGTTATATGGCAGCTTCTAAACGTACATTCTTGGCAAATGTCAAAAGTCTTTTAGATGTTCAGAATGGTGTATATACAAAGAAAATTTTTTCTGAGTAAATTTTAAAAAAAATATTTTTTTATCCGATAGAAAAGATGACGAAATATATTTCAGTAAACAAGTACATGTCAGGACTTAAAGAAGAACTAGACCCATTCACATATTTGAATGTTTACTTCTACCATTTTGAAAAGTCTTCATTCAGCAAAGTTTGGAACATCGAACCAGTTAAGTTTGCTATTGTGACTAAAAATGGTGCGAAATTTGAAGACTTAGACATAGAAGGTTTGTTAACAGTCAAAGAAAGTTTTGACAGAAGGTTCTCAAACCTTAAAGAAGGCAAAGCATACAAACTTGTTATACCTTATGAACCAAAGAAGACAGACGACTATGAATATTATGAGTCTAAAGTTGTAGAAGTTCAAGGTAAATTGGGTAAAAAGATTTTAGAGTCTAAGCCAGTGTTTACTCCTAAAGAGGAAGAGAGCATTGACATTGACCCAGAAATGTTCTAAAAATAAAATTTTATTTTTACATGTCAAATTTCTTTTTCTCTGGAACTGGTTCAGGTTCTTTCTTCTCTTCTACTTTTTTCTCTTTCTTTTCTTTCTTCTTCTCTGGTGGAGATATGTCAAATTTCTCAGAACCATATCTATGTAAAAGTTCTTTGTCCTTTAATAGCTCATCTATTCTGTTTTCTATTTCATCTTCAAGAACAGCGCATGTGTCTTCTTTGCATTCTAAGAACTTTTGTTGGACTTCATCTTTCCAATCGGCGTCATCTCTGTCAACAAGTCTGTCATTGACAAATTTTAAGACTGCTCTTTGTAATGTTTTATGGTTCTTGTCATATTCCCAGAAACAGAACTTTAGAACAAATTCACCTTTCTTGTTTACACTATGTAAGATTTTATGGTCGACAGATGTTTTGCTGTCAAAAAGTTTGTCTCGAATATAGATAGCGAAATCGCTAGACATTTTCTAAAAGATAAAAATTTTAATTTTTCTAAAAATATGTTAGAAAAAAAGTTTGCTGACATTGACAAGAAATTTGAGAATGTTTTAGACAAGAACAAGAGGAAGTTAGAAAATGCTCAGATAAAGCCTATACATGAAAAGTTCTTATTTGCTCAGAATGGTATAACAGGTCTAATTGCACCACCTGGGTCGGGCAAGACTTTCACTTATCTTAAAATGGCTGCACAACAACAAGAACTAGATGAGAAGAACCCATTCTATGAGTTAGTTGTTATTTGTTCGACTTCTGGTCAATTTGACCAAACCGTCAATTCGTTCAAAGATATTATAAAGAAGTCTAAGTTAGTATGTATAAAGGATACTGAGTTGTTAGATTGGATAAAGAAGTACCAAAGAAGAGTTTTGAAGTATAATGCTATAAATGAGTATATAAATTCTAAGTTTAAAGACCCAAATGAGGAAATGCAGAGAATATTAGAGAAGAAACACTTCAGAAACAAACAGAAAGAGATAGAATACATTTCGAAGAAATTGCAATCTTACGATTGGAAGACTTACCCTCATAGATGTCTTCTTATCTTAGATGATTTCGCCTCTCATCCTTTGTTAAAGAATAGAGAACAAGATATGTGTCGAATTCTTAAGAAGCTCAGACACTTTAACATTTCAGTCGTAATATGTGTACAGACAGCAAAGAGTTTAAGTAAGGATGTTAAAAGAATACTTACTGACATAATACTTTTCCCCGGATTGTCCGAAGACGATTTCATGGAACTTATGAAAGAGTCCATGGCAGGTAAGTTTGACAGACATGAACTATGGGAGAAGTACAAAGTCATACAAGACCCTCATACTTCTTTCAGAATTCATATCTACGCAAACAAAGTTCAAATTGTGTAAATGGTCAAGCTTGAAAATTCATTATTTTTGTGCCGAATTCAATAAAAATATATTTTTAGGGTAGATGGGTATATCTAACCCGATTTCTAACCTCATTTCTACCCTCATGAATTTTCATGAATTTTCATGAATTTTCATGAATTTTATATATTAATGTTTTCGTTAAGCCACTTTGTGCCATCAGTCAGTTAATGAAATTTACACCAAAAATATATTTTAGGGTAGATGGTTAGATCTAACCCGATTTCTACCCCAGTTATTTTATAAACGTTTTACATGGTAAACGTTATTTTTGGAATTTTGTGAAAACTCAACGGTTTGACACGTGCCCTAAAAATTATTTTACTCAGAATTTTGTGCTGAATTCAATAAAAATATATTTTAGGGTAGATGGTTAGATCTAACCCGATATCTACCCTCATTTCTACCCTCATTATTTATAACCGTTTTACATGGTAAACGTTATGAATTCGTGAGATTCTAAACAGTTTTGTAGCTTCTATTTCTTCGCTGAGGATATCAAAAATTTTAACAATGCCGAAAGTTTCTTTATACTTCTTCTTGACGTCAGATAGAAGGAAATCGTCAGCAGTTGGATAGTTTTTGTTCAGAAATGCTAACATGTCCATTTTATCTTCTACCGGCTTCTCTGCTTCTTTCTTTAAGTCTGCATAGTCGTTTCTCATACGTTCTATCTCTTTGACGGAGTAGTTATATTTCCTCATTGCTGCTTTACATTTAGAACATTGCGGATTCATTTTTGCGTTATACATTGAAATAAAACCAGCTAGAACAACCAAGGCGTCAATGACTTTCTTTAAATCTGAAGCAGTTGGTTTTATCTGTTCATGCCATACTTTACCTCTTCTATCTTTATCTCTTATCTGCCATACACATTTTGCAACTAATGAAACAAAGTTGTCGTATGTCTTAAACTCCCCAGATTTATATATGTCAGAGATGTTCTTATATACCATGTCGCAATCTTTGTCCATAACTTTATGGTTGCAATGATATCCTAGAAACTCATAATTTACCTTTCGTATGAACTTCTTTATTTCTACTGAGTCAGTTGGTTTCACTTCTATTTCATCGAATTCAGGAATAGTGAGCTTTTGTTGTTGGATTTCAGGCAATTTAGGTAAATGGTCAATAATGTCCTGCATTTCATAAAGATATTCTTCATTTTCTTCATCCTGTGCGGTACAGTCTAAATTACTTGTTAAAAGTTCCTGCTTAATTTTTTGTATTTCTGTTCCAAAACTATATGAAGAAGGAATGAAGTTTTTCATCTCTACTAACATAGATGTTGGATTCATGACTAACGAGTTTGGTGCTGTTGTTTGAATTGTTGTTGTGCCGATTGTTGAAATCATATCTTTTATACAAAATAAAAAAATAAATAAAAATAAAACTAACATTATTTTTTCTATCTTAAGGAAATTCATGAAAATTCATGAGGGTAGAAATCGGGTTAGAAATGAGGTTAGATCTAACCATCTACCCTAAACATTATTTTTTGGTCCGGGAACAACTTTCTCTCAATTGGAGCTGTAGCATACTCTTTGCGTAAGCGGTTCAGACCTTCTTCGAAGTCTTGGTCTCTCTTCGATTGAGATTGGAATTGGAATTGCTGGGGTGGAGCTTGCTGGAACAACCAAGGGTTGGGGAAGTAAGGCATAGGCTGAGGAGGGTAGTTCGGGAAGCCTTGTGGTGGGTAGTAACCTTGAGGTGGAAATTGGTAGTAATTCGGAGGTACTTGCTGGAACTGAGGTTGCTGAGGAGACTGTTGTGGTTCTGCAGCTTTCGGTTCTTCTGGCTTTGGAAGGCATTCAGGAAGAGGAACGTCAGTCATCCGTTTGTGTCCTGTCGGAAGGAAAAATTTTTCCTGTCGGATGGAAGAACTTTTTCTGTCGGAAGGAAAAACATTTTCTAAAGTTCGACCAAAAAGTTCTCAATTTTCGAAAATTTGAATGGTTTACGGACGGACAACTGGAAGAGTTCTTCCTGTTGTCGGGAAAAATTTTCCCTTTGTCGGGAAAATATTTTCCTGTCGGATGGAAGAACTTGGAATGCAAGAAAGACTTCCTCAAGCAGAATGTAAAAGGCAAGCTTGTTAACGTTTGGATAACGGGAAGGGCTGCCTTGAATCTCGAGATTTCGACTGGAATTCCAATTGAGGTACCAGAAGGCACTCCTTTCGATGGCATAAAGGACGCCAAAAGAGAAGCTCTTGTTGAGTTCCTAAACAAACGTCCTTGGATAAAAATACCAAACAAGGAGAACCCCCTACCCCATATGAAATTGGCAATTCAGTCTCTCCTTCACTACTCTGGTCAGCCGTTCTACATAACCTCAGAAGGCGACATCCAACCAGTTCAGTAAACATCTCATTTTAACTCACTTTTTAATGTTTTTTGTGAAAGTGTCAAAAATAAATTGTTTTCATGAGTTTTCTACGATGTTAGAAAAAAATGTTATTTTCTAATATCTTCACATTCAATACTTTTTCAGCACTTTTCCGTAGTTATATATGAAAGACAATTCGAGATAAAAGTCATAGTACAATGGAATAATATGTTGCACACCATTTGTTGTGAACCAAACTTGAAAGTCAGAGAAACTGTTACTAGGTGGTTCGTAGAATTTAGAAGCAAAGTCATAAAGGTCCTTACCAATACATAGAAAACTATTGTTGCTTGAACTGAAACTTGCATGACACATAACATTTTGAGGGTCAAACACGTTTCTATAAACCATCAAATCTGCTGGTGGAAGTATAAATTTAAATGGACCATCTGGTGGTAATGGTTCGTTCTGGTTTAGTAACCGAAGAAATTATGCCCAAGAACGTTTGTCTACTTCCCAAAATAAAAACTCTGTATCTCTTGGAGGGTTAATTTCAATCTTTTGAAATGAAACGGTGGAGTTCATCTTGTCATATTCTAGTTTCAGATAGTATGTTCCATTTAGTAAAGAGTCGTATTTTTCTTGAAATTCCCAATAATATTTGTTCATTTGAGTTTGAAAGTCATCTAGAGTTTTCTCAAGACTTTCTCTGAACGAACTGTAAAGATTCTCATTTCGTCAAATTTGTCTATTAGACCATTAGGACCTTTATACTGCCCATGAAAATATACTGCGAACATAAATGCGTTAGTTCTATTTGAAAACAAAACTCTTCTAAATCCTATTGCCTTTGCATCTGAAGGACTTTGAAGCCAACGAATTGGATAGTCAAACCTGTATGCTCGGGATGAAATTTCTTCATCTGAAATAGTCCTACCAGCATTTGTAAAGATATAGTCTAACGGTTTTGTATCTGCTACTTTTGTTCTTTGTTTTTCAACCTGAAGCATTTAATATAGGGTGTCCAAAGGTGTGTTTAGCACAAACCTGAATACTGCGAATAGAAATAAACAAGTTACATATATATAAAGTTTATTTAAATATAATCACCATTGGATTCAATCACGCGTTCGCAGCGATCGATCCAGGCTTGAAAGACACGCTTTAAATCATCATGAGAAAATTGCTCAAATTGCTCTCTTACAAAATTTTCAAGATCATCTGGACTCGCGAATTCGCGTCCTTCAGCTCTCTTTTTTAGCGTGCCGAATAAATAAAAGTCAGAGGGTGCAATATCAGGTGAATAAATTGGGTTTGGAACAACTTTGACATTGTTTTCCACCAAGTAATTCATTACCTTATGACTTTTGTGAACTCTTGAATTATCAAAATGAATTGCAAACTTTTGTTTTTGTTGTTTGGATTTCTCAAACTCATCAGAATTGATAATTTGAGTAAGAACATTGTCAATTAGATACTGAGCATTCATCATATTAGGTTTTTGAAGAATATCAATTGCGATGATGCCATTCACGCCCCAAAAAACCGACAACATCATCATTGGTGTGTCAATTTTTTCTTCGGGAATGTTTGCGGATTTTCATCCTTCGGGATCCACATGATTTTGGCTTCTGTTGCATATTGAAACCAAGACTCGTCCCCTGTTACTAAAAAGCGAAACTTCTTGGATTGATACGCAGCCAATATAGAGAGGAGCTCTTTCGAAGATTGGACTCTAGATTTTTTTTGAACTGAATTAAGGTTGTGCGGAACCCAACGTGTATACGCTAGTTTGTAGTTCAAATAATTGTGCAGATAATAACTGACTGTTGTACGTGGTATCTTTGTCATCTCCTCTATCCTTCTGAGTGATGCTCTTGGGTCTTCATCTAGCGCTTGAAGAATTGCTTTGATTTTTCTTTGATCCGGCGATTTTTTGTCAATTTTTATGATGGGCGCCTTTTTGTTCATGAAGTGATACATCCTAACATGATACGTTACAGTGGAATAGCTAGGAGCATCCATACCGAAGCATTTTACCAATGTCTCGTAGATTTTTTTACAGTCTTTGCATTTTTTGCAAGAGCTAGGATGTTTTCTTTATGATTCATTAAAAAAATGAAAAAAATCCCGCCAAAATTTCCCGCGAAACCGCCTCTTGTCTCAAAATTCATTTTATATCCCGGCATGGCGCCAAAATACAACTTACTCATCATATACATATATTCATATTTTTTATTATATATTTATAATCAGCATATATCTCCTTTAATAGTCTCATATAGAGCGCTGTGCTAAACGCACCTTTGGACACCCTATATATGTAAAAATATATTGTTTTAAAATGGTATGCCATATAGCTTCTTGAATTTGTTAAGAAGTATTTGAACGTATTTTCCATCTGTATCTCTAGTGTTTACATAAGCAAACTCAGCGTACATTTCAAATAAAATTAAAAATGTCACTTTTTTGAAAAACGTTTTTACTTCATGCAATGTTTTATTTCTGTGCCGTCTTCAAGTATGCCCCAGTACTTACGCTTGGAGAGGACATGAACTTCGGAAAATACCTTATCTAGCTTAAAACAGCCCATCTTTTCACCGACCATTCCCATTTCAATGAGTTTGTTGTATCCTTCTTCGTTCGTCATGAGTGCGTCAATGTTCTCATAGTAAACCTTCACTTTGGATTTGACTTCGGAGAAGAATTTGTTGTAGTTGTCAAGTACTGCCTTTGCGAACTGAGGGTAAGACCAATGTTCGACAATAGGTTTTAATGTGGTTACTAAGCCACTTTGACCTTGAGTGAATTCGTACTTCAAAACAAAAGGAGAAAACCTTTCAACAAAGTTGTCGACCTTCTCATAATGTTTACTCTTCATCTCTTGAGGTTTCTTAATGGAATATCCCATGTCGAATTCATAAGCAATTTGAGTGTCATTGCAAGTTTGGGGTTTGAAGCTTTCCTAATATCATACAGTTGTTGTATGACTTTTCCAACTGTATAGTTCCTTCCCGGGAACTCACCATCTTCGTTTGGAATTCCAGTCGGAATATATTGGACAAACCTCATGTACGCAGCGTTAAGGTCGACATAGTATATCTTTTCATCTGAGTCGAACTTGTCGCAACCAATTGGTCCAGTTTGTGGAAATTCAAGTGAATCTCTTATCTTCTGAGAAACTTCTCCTGTTATCTCATAAACATCGTCGAAGCAACCTGTTTCATATAAAACCTTCTGACCTAACTCAGATGCTCTCCAATACAATTTGACGTCAATTGGATGTCTCAATGGAAGTTTGTTTATAGCATCTTGAAGTTCTTGCAACCTCATTGGAAGTTCTTCTGGTTCAGGTTGGTATCCGAACATACCAACCCCCTGTGGAACTGTGTACTTCTTTTGTACTAGAACTTTGTCTGGAACAACTTTTGGTCTTGCTAACAATGAAAAGTTTGTTTCGTCTTTTGGTACAAAACTTTCTGTAAGCTTGTCATCTGGAATTGGTTCCAACAAACCTTTCTCGAAAAGAATGTTTACAGCTCTGACAATGTTGCACTTACTTTTACCAAAGAATGGGTTTGTAAGACTTTCGTTCAACATGAAGTGGTTGTGGACAATTACAATCTTCAACCATGGTAAGTCTTTGTCAACAACATAGTCGTCATGTGAAGAACCTTTAGCTGTAGGTATGTTGACTCGGATATTGACATTTGCCAACGGTGCAATTTTTGCCAATTGACCTCTGAGAATGTACCTTGTCTTCACACATGACTCAAGATACTTCATCTTCTCATCTGTAACAAGACCAGAGTTCCTGAGACATGTAAGAATACAAGGTTCATTGACAATTGTTTCAATTGAATTGTAAATTCCATACCTTGTCAAGTCAATGTCAGACTTATTTATGAAGGGTGTAATGCATGAAAAATAGCGTGACTTCATTTTTGACAGTTTACAAATGTAAAGTGTTGCATCCTTAAAAACTTGGAAATATATACATTCATGAATTATCTTGTATATTAATTGAAAATCCATAAAACCCTAACAATATTTTTTCTTAAAAAAACTATAAAAATATAAATAAAATTAATCGTTAAATAAAAATATTTGATATTAGAAGTTTATTGAAAAAATAAAAAACTTAATATTTTAAAGAAATACTTAAATAATTGAATGTTTTAACTTTTACATTATCATATAGACTCTCAAATTATTGATTGGAAACGGTTTGAGGGTTATCAATTTAAAAAAATTGTGAGTTTTTTAGATTTTTGGCAATGAGTTTTAAAAATTTGTGAGTGAGAATGTGTGTTAATGCTTGGCACTTTGAAGGGAAGATGTTCTGGGTTCACAATTATTAATGGGATAAATAAAATGATTATAAATATAATATATTAGAAAATAATTTGCAAAATCTCTCCATTTTTATAAATTTAATAATAGAAGTTGATCTATATAGAAAGAGTTTTATCTATTAAGTTTTTGGCTTTTGCCTTCAAATCATTAATATAATTTTTTTTCAAAAAAAATTGTTTTATTTAAAATAAACAAATTTTATCAAATAACTAGTATTTTTAAATTATCTTTTGAAAAATTGAAAAATTTACAAATTAAAAAATGGAAGACATCTTGGTTCGTCTCGAAAACCCAGAAGATCTTAAAACTTTTCAACTCCCAACCGTTCCCGCCGATCAGGTTCTCAACGTAATTGAAGAAAAATATCAAGAATACATTAATAATCCAAATGTAACTCTCGAAGATACGGCAAAAACACTTTCAATAGGAAAAGAACGTTTGAAAAAAATTTTCGTACTACTCGGCTATCCAATAAAAGAAAGAGGAAGACCAAAGAAAAAATTTTTGAGGAAGATGTATACAAAGTTTTGGAAATTAAAGCACAATATGACATTGGATACAAAAGGATCAAAGAATCATATTTCGAAAAAGTCGAAAGATTTACATTCAACGATGCTTTCAAAATTTTCAATCAACAACATTTGTTTACATTTCACAGGCATCAGAAAATCGATCCACATGCGTTGCAATATGTTAATCAATTGTGGCATACTGATTTGAAATTTCTGAAGGACGATAACGGTAACCTTCAATATTTAATTTCATTTCTTGATGACAGAAGCAGATACATTATTTGCTGGGATGTTTTCGATACAAAAGAAATGAAAAATACTGCCAGAGTATTTCGTCACGCAATTGATTTAGTCAAATTAGTTCCACATGGAATTCTCACAGATAATGGAACAGAATTCATTGGAAAAGATTTTGAAGCGGTTTGCCAAGAATTCAATATAAAACATTTCAAAACTCATCCGTACTCTCCAGAGGAAAATGGAAAAATTGAAAGGAGTTGGGAGACTCTTTTCAAGACAAACCCTGGAGTGAACGTCTTTGAGTTCATCCCCAATGTTGTTTCCCAGTATAATAGGGTATGGAAACACTCCGCATTATTCAAACTCTTTGGGGAGAAATTGACTCCATTTGAGGCCTGGGAAAGAGGCCCCAAATGGACAAAAGATCTCTGCGCTGAACCAGGCTTCGAAAAAAATCTTAGAGATTAACAAATAATTTCAAAAACAAGAAAATTCAAAAAATCACAAAAAGGAAGTTAAGGAATAAACACTTACATTTATTACATTTGGATTTTTTAAAAAATTCAGTATTATTTTTAGAAATAAGATAATATAGTTCTAAATAAAACAAAGAATGTTAAGAATGAAGAAGGAATTAGCGGATGCAGCCGAAGCACACTCACAAATTACTCTCAATATCCACTCAAATCATACAAAGTTTTGTCGAATAGTTTGATATAAAGACAAAAAATTTACAATTTTTAATTAAATCCGAACAATCTTACATATGCAGCTGAAGCACACTCACAAATTACTCTCAATATCCACTCAAATCATACAAAGTTTTGTCGAATAGTTTGATATAAAGACAAAAAATTTACAATTTTTAATTAAATCCGAACAATCTTACATATGCAGCTGAAGCACACTCACAAATTACTCTCAATATCCACTCAAATCATACAAAGTTTTATATTTTCATTTTATTGTTTCTTAATAAAGAATTTACTTTAATATTCTTAATTGTTTTCTTTTTTATATTTAATTTTTGATATCTATTTTAAAAAACTTATACAAATTCGAGTCAGCTAATAATTTAATTGAAAAAATAAAAAGAAAACATATAATTTTTAATCCGTCTAATTGAATAAGCAATATTATAAATATTATGTTAAACGGTTAATTTTTTCTCAAAAAAAATTATTTCGAATTTCCGAAATTTTTGACATTTTGGCTGAGAACTATGGTCTGCGAGGTACATAGATAGAATCAGTACCTCGCAGACTATAGTTCTCTATATGGCGCCGAAAATTTTTTGGTGAAATGTCGTCGCATTTCACCAAAAATTTTTCGGCGCCATAGGAAGAATTGGAGGGTGTGAGATACTATTACATGCTATAGTACTCACACCCTCCAACTCCCAATCAAAATCGCATAAAATTTGCTACTTATCTTCAGATTACCTCCCATTATAAAATATATCATTGCTATCTCATCGTACTATATTTCCACCCTATTGTATTTAAAAATATAAAATTTTTTGATAATATATTTTTATATCTTGAATTTTCAAACAATATATTCACAGATAATATAATGGGAAATCTATCTCAACCCAGCCTTAAAGTACCAAACTCCTGCTTGCATTCTCACTCACAAATATTAAACATCCATCTCCAAAAAACTAAATTCTTCACAATTTTTTTAAAATTGAGAACATAAAAAACGTATGCATTCAATAATTTAAGATACTAACAAATATTAAAAACTTCAAAATATCAGATATTAACGTTTTTCAATTAAAAAATATCATTTTGCTTTTCAATTCGAACATAAATCTTAAATATTTTTAATTAATATCTGATTTACAGCATTATTATCCATTTATAAATCTGACAAATAAATGACAAAACCATCAGAAATAGTGTCACCTTTTGTCAAAAGTGAAGTCACGCTATTTTTCATGCACAACACTTATTTATGAAGGGGAAGTATCCAGCATGTTGTCTGACTGCTTGAGGGTTAGGTTGGTACCATTCGAACTTGACACTTGCAATTCCTTCAATTGCATTCAAAATGTCTGAGTCGGAGTCAACCATTTGTTCTCTCTTTGTAGTCTTGAAAGCGTCAAGAAGTTTTGCGGCCGTTTGTTCATTGCCATGTGCATAGTAAATGTGACCATCCAAATCTGTTATGGTCAATCTGAGATTGTGTCCTTTCTTATTTCCGTCTTGAATTGCAGCAAGTACTCCCATGAAGCCTTCTTTGTTCTTTCCTTCGTCAAAGTTTACTGTAAAGGTTCGACCAGATGTAATTTGACTTCTAACTTCACGGTACTTCTCATATGCATATCTTGTTCTTTCCATAGGAGCATGTGCGTCTTCACCTTTTCCTTTTTTCCTTCTCAAAGGATGCAATTGTTCGTCATGTTTCCAGTAGAATCTGGCAAAGCCGTCGTGTCCTTCAACTTGAGGTTCACTAACATCGAAAGGCATGTCCATAAGACGTTCTTCTTCTAACCTCTCTAGTCTGTTTGGATAATTGGCACGTGCTGTTTCCAAATCCATTTCGTAGCGAAGACCAGACAATTTGTCATAGACTTTTATGGGTCTTCCCTTCCTATATTTAAAATTCTTCGAAACTCTCCAACCATATCTTTGTAACTCTGCTTTTATTCTAGCAGACTTTCTGTCCATTCTATATGGGGGCATTTTTATAAAAATAAAAAAAATATTTTTTTCTTTACTTTACATAACCGCCTGCTGCCATAAGTCTTTGACGCCAACCCATACCAGCTAATGAAGGTTGACTTGGTTTAGTTTGGAAACTAAACTTTGGTTTTGGTTTATCTTCAGTTTTTGGTTTTTCTTCTTATCGGTTTTTCGTCACTTTTCGGTTCCTCTGACTTTACTTCACTTGCAGGAACAGTTGTGTCGTCAACATCTTCATAAATATCATATGCCATTTGTTTTTGTTTTCCTTTCAACTTTTTGTGTTTGTTGTAAAGTTTAGAATATTTCGACTCTAAGTCAATGAGATGTTCTATAATGAACTGTTGGTCAGTGAAGTAAACTTTTCCATCTGTTGTCTCGAAAGCTCCTTCAGACTTCAATATTTTATTTGTGAGAGTCTGTTTCTTTTTTGAGATACTAGCCGTTCCATTTCTATGAAAAGTGACTTTATAGTTAGGGTTTGTATTTCCAGACCTGGCACTTTCTATTATTGAATTTTTCTCTTCATCTGTAAGTTCTTTGACAGGTTTTGACAATGGTTCTGAACTTTTTGTTTGTGGTGTCAAATCTACCGTTTCGACTTCTTCGGTCATTTCATCTCAGTAAAAAATTTTAGTTTGGTTTGTTTTCAACTGGTTGTTTAGGTTTTTTAAGTCGGTCTAAAACTTCCTGAGGTATAGAAAGAACTTTACAAACACGTGGTGTAAAAGGTGGTCTTCCATGACTTATTCTGTTTAAAGCTGCATTGTTCATTTCATCTCAGTAAAAAAATTTAGTTTGGTTTGTTTTCAACTGGTTGTTTAGGTTTTTTAAGTCGGTCTAAAAACTTCCTGATATAGGAAGAACTTTACAAACACGTGGTTTAAATGCTGGAAGCCGACAAATCCATCTTGAACTCATTTGTCTCAATGCTGCATTGTTCATTTCATCTCAATAAAAAACTTTACATTCCCCACGTTTGAGGCGGTTGAGGTTGGTTATTGTTTACCCACTGTTGTGCATGGTTATATCCTCTGTTAAAGAATCTTTCACCTTGGTCCATATAGTGTCCTGCTTGGTTATAGTAGTCATTTGCTTTGTTATAATAGTTCCTGCTTGTCTTCCTACATTGTCCATCCATCCT